GGCCCATGCCAACCCTTCTCCGGACCAAGTGCGGGGTCCGGGGGACAAAGGACCGGTGGCCAGGGTTCCCGGCCGCCCATCTGTGACGCCACCGCGCAGTGTCCCGGGGCGTACGGGGTGGGGGAGGGGCTGTGACGCCCCGAGGCTCGTGACCCCGGATTAACCAGCCCAAGGGGCGCCCTCGCTCTCCGGGCCCCAGGCTGGGCAACAATGGCTGAAGGCCCCCAGCTGTCCCGACGCTACAGGCCCTGCACGGCCCGAGGATCCCGACCGCTCAGCCCTTCACGCCCAGCAAAGACCCCCGGCCATGACCCGGTCTGTACCCCTGGCTCGGGAGCTACCCACGGCTCCGACGGCCGCCCAGCGTGCACCCCGGCCAGCGAGCTCCCATCCAAGGTCACCACGACCCTGCGCGCCACGATGGAGGCCGCGCGCCCCCCTCAACGGCCCGCCGGCCTGACCGCGGGCGCCGCTCTTACCATGGTGCTGGCCACACCTGGCCCGGCAAGAGCACCGCACACAAGTGTAGGCTTCAGCAGGCGGAACAGGCGGCTGAAGCTCATCACGGCGGCGGGGGCACCCAGGAGGCAGCGGCTCCTCCCCTCGCCGAGCCGACCAATGGACGCGCGCTAGCGCGCATCACCTCCCATCCCTTGGCCACGCCCACCAGTGCCCTCATTGGTCGGTCGCTAGGGAGCTGTGACGCGTAACAGCGACAGCCATTGGGAGGCCGGGGTGAGGAAGTGAAGGGGCGGGGCCGGGCCGGGCGGCTGTTTTGTTGCGGTCTGGAACTGCGCATGTTCGCTGGCGGGTGCGGGCGCTGCCTCTACGCAACCCGCTCGTTGGTCGCCCGTTGACAGTTACCTGAGTAGTTGATCACAGCGCCGGGGAATGCCGGACAACTTGAAAAACTATTGGAAACCCGAGGGGAGGGGTCTGGAACTCGCAGAAAAATCGTCCAGCTCACTGAAAACTGGGGGTGTTGTGTGTAATATCAATAAAACCAGACTGGGGTCCATACACCCGTTCTCTCGAGACTGCGGGGGGGCGGGGAGCGGAGCTCCTCGGCCCATCTGTGGGCGCCCAGCAAGGGCCTGGGGGTCACCTAGTGGTGAGTGTCCCGGCCGGAGTCGTCCACTGCCGCAGTGTCTGCCATACCGCGCAGTGGCGGCGGGGGTGGGGGGT